ATGGCCCAAGTCGTGGATTTGTCAAGGAAGAACTGCTCATAGTCCCCAAAGACTCAGAGTAGTGCTGCTCCACGTGCCCGATTACACTCTAGGCATGTCAGTCTTACATTGCCTCTGCAATGGCCGCGTTTATTATTTATGCGATCCACGGAGAACTGTTGATCGTCATTCGGGTCAAACCTCCATAGTAGTGGTATGTTACACTTGGCACACCTTGCCCCTTTCTTATAGACGTCGTCCACGCATAGGTCGAACGTCATATTTTTTTCTTCGTCGTGTCTTTTGTAGCGAAGGAGTTTCTTGGCAATGTTCTCTTTTGCTATGTCTTCTGGGGTGCGGTCGTAACGCAATTGCGGACCCCAGGCTCTTTTTAACTGTTTGGCATATTCTACGCGGCTTACGGCGGTGTAGATAAGGTTGCTCCAACACAGCCGCTGGTCTATGATCCATAAGGTTTCTTTTATGGTAAGCCCCTGCGCGCTGTGGACCGTCATGCAATAGCCTAAGCGCCAGTCTGGATGGGAGGTAATTCTTTCCACCTTTTCTATGGGTACCCAGGCTTTGTCATGCGTTACTGCGTTCTGCAGTTGGATGTCGGTACCAGGTACCCAGACGTCTCTTTTTTGCATGCGGGTGTCGTGGGGTTTGTAGCAAACAGGTACGGGATGCGTAGGGAAGCGCTCTCGATGTATTTTGAGTAAGTCTTTCTGTATGCGAGATTGTGCCGCGCGCTTACTACTTAGCACCAGATCCTTTGGATGCCATGTGTAAAGGAAGTCCTCGTATTTCTTCGCTCGTACGCGTTTGCGCAGTGTTTTGCATTGCTCGGCATCACTAAGGCCCCTTAATTCCGCTTTCAGGTTTCTTATTTGATCCTTGCTGCGGTAGTCGGTGTTAATTTCCTCCGCATGGTCTACGAACCCCTTTAGCCATTCGTGGGGCATTTCTCCGGATATTGGAGGAGGCTGGCAGGGATCTCCGGCGAATATTACTTGACATTTCCCGCGAAGGAACTCTACGAACTCCTGCAGGATTTCTAAAGGAACGGTGCAAATCTCATCCCAAAGTATCACCGACGGTATGTCGTGGATGGCTTCTGGTACCCACTTTTGGCCATTCCAACGAAAGAAGCTGTGGTACGTTTGAGCGTCGTGGCCCATTTCGCAGAGTTCTCGTTCCAAACGGTGCGTTGGCGTTAGCACCTTTATTTTTGGGAACAACTGCAGTACGCGCGTCGTCTTACCGCTGCCTCCCGTACCGTAAAGGTAAGAGAAGCGTTGGTAAGAGATTGGGTCCGCAACTGAAGGTAGAGGCTCTTTGGTAGGCGTTACGGTGCCCCGGGTGTGCAAGGCACCAGAGGTGCCCCCGTGATATTCTACGCGTTCTCTCCAAGCTTTTATTTCTTCATCTTTGACACGCCATTGACCACTTTCTGCGAGTTCGTCGTCGGTGTAGAATTCCTTCATCTTTTCTAACACTTCGGGCTTTACGTACAAGGAATCCGTAGCTACGCGCGGAACGTCCTCTTTGTCAAACCGCAGTAACATCGCGAGAAGGTTAATGTGCGCATATGCAAGCATGCTGGCACGCAGATGGTAATACTGCGGTCGATGGTCCTGGTAGTAACACAAAGCATTCCACTTACGTTCTCTCTGCTCGGCTTCTATGAAATAGTCCCATTTCTCTACAGACACCATCGTTCCTTGGTCGTGGGCGCGCTTGATGAGGAAGCTTAGTTCGCCTTCGTCCGTTATTAAACGCCGCTGCATATGTTTCTCGCCTTCCTTAGCGCCCTGTGTGAATTTACCTATAACAATTCGGGCGGTGGGGTTGTGCTCCGGCAGCCATTTGGTAAAGCTACTGTGACAAAGTATGGCTTCATGCGCTGTGTATTTTAAAAGTTTGCGCTCTTCGAAGAACTTCAGTAGAGGCACGGGCAACCATTCTTTCTCCTGCAGATGCTTTCCATACCACGCGTAAATTATCGGATGTAAGCCTTTTGCGAGCTTCCAGCTGGTTAACCTGACAAATCCCGTTGCTGGTGCGTCGTAGTGACCATCCAACGCAACGCGAAAGAACTGCGAGTCTGGATGCCCGTAACGGTCGTAATATTCCTTGCAGTCACCAAGGCCTTTGAAGCTTGCGGGGTAGCAGTGCTTCATATCCARCGACACGTATTYGTCTTCGTCGTACTCCATGTTCCACAGTCCTCCGTGGCCGTGTTCTACGCACGCTTTGGCTATGTCTCCGAACTCTTTTGGGGTGGGTTTCCAGCCGTTTCTCTTCTTGGCAGCCAGGAAGTCCAAGCTGCGACTGCTAAGGACCTCATCAGAGAAGTCTTCCCCTAAGGTCTCACAGGCGCTTTGAATGCGCTGTTGTTCAATTTCGGGTCG